TAGAGTTGAGGGTCCATTTCCGGGCTCTCGATTCTGTTCCATTGATCTATGTGTCTGTTTTTGTGCCAGTACCATACTGTCTTGACGATGACAGCTTTGTAGTAGAGCTGGAAGTCCGGAAATGTGATGCTGCCAGCTTTCCTTTTCTTTTTCAATATTCCTCTGGCTATTCGGGGTCTCTTCTGGTTCCATACAAATTTTAGGATTATTTGTTCCATTTCTTTGAAAAAAGTGGTTGGTATTTTGATGGGGATTGCATTGAATGTGTAGATTGCTCTAGGTAGCATTGACATCTTCACAATGTTTGTTCTTCCAATCTATGAGCATGGAACGTTTTTCCATTTCTTTGTGTCTTCCTCAATTTCTTTCATGAGTATTTTATAGTTTTCTGAGTACAGATCCTTTTCCTCTTTGGTTAGATTTATTCCTAGGTATCTTATGGTTTTGGATGCAATTGTAAATGGGATCGACTCTTTAATTTGTCTCTCTTCTGTCTTGTTGTTGGTGTATAGGAATGCCACTGATTTCTGTGCATTGATTTTATATCCTGCCCCTTTACTGAATTCCTGTATGAGTTCTAGCAGTTTTGGGGTGGAGTCTTTTGGGTTTCCCACATAAAATATCATATCATCTGCAAAAAGTGAGAGTTTGACTTCCCCTTTGCCGATTTGGATGCCTTTGCTTTCTTTTTGTTGTCTGATTGCTGTGGCTAGGACTTCTGCAATGCTTTCTAATTTATGTGCTGTCCAGCGAGCCGGCCCCTCGCCACATGTGGTTCCTGCGCAAAAGAGGAACTGACGTTTTCATTTTTCATTCCATTTAAACTTATTTAAATTTTGCTTAAGTTATAATTTCATTTGATGAATTTAAATTTAAATAGCCACATGTGGCTACTATACTTGACAGCACAGATCTGGGACAGTAGTGCCAAGAGTGAAAACAAAATAGTGCCGACACATCATCGGAGCTTACAATTTTCCCACCATCATTCCAAGTGTCTGGGCTTCTTAAATGTGCTCCATTGTCTTGCTTTTTTACTATTGTCCAAGTCTTATGATGAAAAGACAAATTCATGTAAAACAAATATTGCTAACTTTGCTAGATAGTCTGATATCATATATTTTCCAAACCTGTCGGTGTGTACCTGATCTCTCTCTCCTGATTTTGGTAGTTACCAAAAATCTAATTACCATCGGTCAGTGATTTTTTTTTTTTTTTTTTTTACCTAAACATAAGGGGTTGGTCCCTATCCTCGAAAGGATTAGGAACCAGTGACTGAAAGTATTAGCAGAAGGGCAGGTGAAAGAAAAGAAGAAACCTGCCTTCACCTTCGAGTGTCCCCACTCTGCCCCAAGCTATTCTAGGAGGGGAGTCCCTCGGAGCCCAAGCTCACTTACGTTTCTGTGTGTACCCCAAGAGCAAGGACTTGGGGAGCTGGGAGGGATTAAAGAGAACCTCCTTCTGCTTTCCGCCGTGGGAGTGGAGCACCATCAACACCATCCACTTGGCTCTGCCTGCCCGGCCTTCCCGTGCCCACCCGAGCCCTGAAGTTTCCAGAGGCCACGGATGCACGAGCGCGCGTGGGGACAGGGACGGGAACGTGTGCAGCTCTACTCACCTGAGCACATTTCCCCCTTGTAGCGGACACAGGAGAAGTCATCACACTCGCAGTACTTGCCCGTGATCTTGCCGAAGTCGCTGCTGTGGCAGACGCACTGACCGCACAGGCACTCGCCCCGCTGGCTACAGGCGGGCTGGCCCTCCTGGGGGCTGCACTCATCCTGCTGGGAGGGGCGGTAGTCCTCCTCTGAGCACTCACACTGGGAGCCCAGCCAGCCAGGCCCGCAGAGGCACACCCCGCACTCAAACGTCCCATTGCCATGGTTGCAGCGGTCGCTGGAAGTCTCGGCCTGGGCCTGGCATTCACAGTCACAGTCAAAGGTGACCTGGACCGTGAGGCTGTCTTTGAAGCCTACAGGCTTGATGGTGAAGGACTTCTCCTTCTCCTGTGGGCAGCCACGCACCTTGGCCTCAATGCTGAAGCTCACCTGGGAGGAGAGTAGGACCGCATTCAGATGTGGGTGGACCTGGACCCTTTTAACATTCCAGCCCTGGAGGGAAAGAAGCTGGGCCCTGCCCTGCCCTGCCCGGGGAGTAGCCAAACTGGGGGGCCTAATGCCCCAGCAACCTGGAGTTCCTCAGCCTCCCCACGACCCAGGGCTGCAAAGCAAAAAGAAGAGCCTGGGGACAGTTGTCCTCTTATATCTGGCTGGGTGCACAGATGTAATTTAGTCATGAGATATGTTGGGGTTTTTTAATTCCCCATAGGAAATAAGCCAGCTCCAGCAGAACAGAACCTGTGATCTTATAAACATTCTGCTCTGGCCAACTAAGCTAGCTGGACTGATTACACAATGTCATATATCTTTGTAGCAAGACACACAAAGCACTATTTTGTACCACACAACCCCACACAGTGCCCAACCACAGGCTCAGGATCTACTGTTTCATTTCCATGAATATTTCATCACTTGTGCCATCATATACCTTTCCAGCCAATATTTCTTGGATAGGGTATGTGCACCTGTTCTAGAATATAGATAGACAGACATACGGACAGAGGGATAGAGATGGATATACAGATGCTGTAGATACAGATGATATAGATATAGCTCTCCCCCTTTCTGCTTCCCTCCCTCTCACCAGCCCTTCCCCTTTAGGCAGAAGCAGAAGAGAACCAACCACTAAGGAAAGAAAGCTGCAGAGGCCGTAGAGGGACTGGAGAAGCAAAATGAACGTTTGCATTCCGCAAGTCTATGAGAGTGGGTGTTTGGTCTTTTTGCTCGTTCCGTTTGCTGTTGAATCTTCAGCAGCTAGAATGATGCCTGCCACGAAGTCAGTGCTCAGTAAATACTTACAGATGACACTGTCATTTTACATTGTAGAGGAAAGAAAGGCATTACCTTGGGGGAGGTTGGAGACTGGTTAGGGACTGAAGGTAAGAAATATTTTCATTTGCAATAAACTATGCATACGCAAACAGAGGAAACCTACCTGCATGTTTTTTAAAAAAAATCCTGATGGTGAAGTTTACGTAACAGAGAAGTTTAGACAACAGGAGCCTCAGAGGAAAAGGTGGGCAGCTCCATGATCTCTAACCTCTCATGACCTTCAGGAAGAAGGTACAAGGAAGGGAGGGGAGGGGTGTCCACAGACATTTGGGGGTACAGACCCTGCCCAGCTCAGCCCACCTCACCGTGTCTCCAATCTTGAGTCCGACACAAGACTTGAGGCCTGGGATGACCTCGTTGTTGAGACAGGTGGCGTTGAAGGACAGAGACAACTCCTCAGGGAGGTCACGCACTTCCAGCTCTACTTTAGAGCGGATTTTCTAAGCAGAAAGGGGCAAAAGAAAGTAAAGGGATGAGCTGAGAGGAAGTGGAGAGGAACCAAATCCATCCCAAGCAAATTCTATCGGGGGCCCTGGACTCACTCCAGCAGTGCCAGATGCCAAGGTTCGCCTAGAAGCTGCCAGAGGGAAGCAGCCCTAGGAAGCTGTTTCTTACTGTGTTTCCTGCAAGACCTGCTTCTCTCTCTCTCTCTCTCTCTCTCTCTCTCTCTCTCAATCTCTGTCCCCACTAGTGTCTGGGTGAGTCTGGGTAAAATCTAAACCAGCTACACCCTCCTGTAAGCCTCATGGATGTACAAAAAGGGAGTGCCAGTACTGGTCCCCTTGGAGAGTAGCCTTTTTTACCTAATTTTTAACCAACCTCACCTTCCCCATGGCTCAGCTCTCTCTTCTCTCTGCTGTTGGAGCCCTGTCCCTCACCCTGTCCTTCCTCCAATTTCAGGACTCTGCTCCTTCCTCATCACCACCCCCATCCTCTCCTTCCCTTCCACCTTCTCTAAGCTCTTTACCCATTGCTCCTAACAATCCCAGGCATTCCTTTCTGAGCCATTTCTCTCTCAGAAGGCTGCATTCCTCCCAGTGCTAGCCATCAGCGAGCCTCTAGAAGAATAAGAGGATGGCAGTGAAGGCTGCCTGGTGGACTAGCCTCCAGGACTCCCAAATCTGAGCCCTCCTGGGTCATGCCAAGTGAGGAGGATTCTTAGCAGGCCCATTTCCAGCGCAAGACACTTACTCCATATGCATCAACGATGAGCTGAAGGACATTGCTGGAATCGGTAGACAGAATCCCCACTGTGGTCCCTGGGATGAGCTCACTGTAGTTCTAAGAAGACAAAGATGTGCAAGGCTGACTGAAGGAAGATGGTGGTCTCCAAAGGCCCTCCCCAAATCAGACTGAGGGTCTTGAAATGAAGATTGAGGGAACAAAGGGATATTTTACTTGTTACTGCCAGTAATAAACCTAGCAGTTTTTCAGCCCTGAATAAAATTCTAAAGAACCTCTCACACCCTTCACCCCCACTAATGGCTCTGCAAACACCAACACACCCATCCTCCTAGGTTCAAGGTTGGAGGAGAGAAACCATAAAAAGGAATCATTAGCTCCTGGGAACAAGTTGGAGAAGGGTCTTTTCTGGTTGAGAATATTGGTCCATAGTAGTGCACGCTGGGTCCCCAAGATAGGTCCACCCATCATCACAGGCCCCACTCCAGGCAGCCCTGGGAGCATAGTCACCTGGTAGAGATTGACTACATTTGCAGTTACTGCAAAGATCAAATTGATGTTTTTTTCGGATAGCTTCTCGGTCATCAACCCCAGAGAGGGATAATCCTGTAAAAAGGGAGGACATGGAGGTTGGTTAAGAATTCACCCCTATTCACATGCATCCCTGGATTCTACTTAGAACTTGGCTGATTTGGGCCATGGCCCAGACAGTGATGGTGTTTACACCTTTCCACCCCACGAGCAATGTGAGGCAAGGGAGTAAGTAGCGACACAAACCCAGTTGTGAACTCCAGGGATAGATGAAGAGGCAAAGGCTGGTGGTGTGTCAAAACCAAGCATCTCTTTCTTCCCACTAGACTTCAATGCATTCATACCAAGGAGCAGCTTCCATGACCCAGGTACTGTCAGGCCTCATTTTGTTTTCCATTAACTCATTTAACAAACATTTATTGAATGACAAATATATTATAGTCTCTGCTGCCAAGGAGCTCATGGTCTGGAGCTGAAGACAGGTACATATAACTACAAAACAAAGCGAAGATCCAAAGAGTGGCATCACAAGGTGATGGTGGGACTCAGAGGAGAGAGGGCTGGGTGAGGAGCAGGAAGTGAGGGAGCGGCAAAGCGGAACTTGGAGTCTTCCTACACCTCGCTCTCCGTCCCATAGGTGTCAGGCCTCATTGTGAAGTTTCCTTATTTTGTAGCTACTGACAAATGCCTCGGCCTGGCATGTGCAACCTCGTGGTGCACCAGCATGTGGTGGTCTCAGCCTTCCTTGCCAACCAGCATTCACATCTCTTCCTCTTCCACCTACCACTGAGCCAGCCTGCTCTTTCTCGCCCATGGAGTGGCCTTCTTTTTGGCAATCCTCCTCCTTCCTTAGGACCCAGATCAGGTCCCACCTTCTCTGGGAGGTCTTCCCTGACCATCCCTAGTTCATGATGAGCTTTCCTCCTTTGAATCCCGAAAGCCCTTATGGACTATGCTACCACTTTAGCATTAATCACGTATCGTGTATTCCTGGTAGCACATCTCCTCAACTAAACTAAAAAGGGGAGGACCTTACATAGTCCCCTTATCTCCCTCAGCCCCTGGTAAGGTGTCCTGCCTAGATTAGGTATCAATGATTACCACTGACTCACCCAATGCCTGGCAGTGCCCGACTTGGACATGGCTGACACCAAGGAACTCAAGCCACGATGGGGATGCTGGTGAACTGTGAACATGTCCCTGGGATCCTAGACCTTGCAGGGAGCGCATGAGATTATCCAGTTTAGACTCCTGCCTTTACACAGGTGTACCATTAAGCTGCCTAGACAAGGAGTTGCTGTATTGTCTTTAAGAGATAAAGAGTTCACACCTACCTCCGGATACCCAGGGTATCAGTATTCTGAGGGTCTTACATTTCTTTATGGCTTACAGCAATTAAACTCCCTTCCTCTTATTTGACCCTCTAAGGCCATAGAAAACAACTTATCAGAAGTCTTCTCAGGTATCAGCTAAACTTCTTTCTTTGAAGCTAAGTGACTCGGAGCCCTTCAACCTTTCCCCACAGGAACAGATCTCTGCTCTTTTGATGACCTCTGTCTCTTTTGCCTCTGTCTTCTTCCAATAACCACCAGTGAGCATGGTGTTCCAAGAAGAGGCTAATCTGTACAGAGGAGAAAGGCAGGCCTGCTTTCCAGCTGGACCTGCAAAAGTCCTTCGGGTCCATTCTGGATGCCATGCTGCTACTGGAGGCAGCGGAGGGGGCGGCCAAAATGACCACAGCCAGGACCACTTATAATGGCTGTGCCGTCTGTCCCCTGGATGACAGCGTCCAGCTGGTATGGGAGGCGGGGGGGGGGGGGGGACAGGCTGAAACAAGCCCCGCACCCTGCCCCGGGGAAGGGCTGCCATTTTCATAGTCACACAAAGGCTCTGCCTGGGTTAGGGCAGCCCTGGCCATCGTGAATTGGGACCACAGGTGGTACCAAGAATCTCACCATGGTAGTGGAGGCAGAGTAATGGTTGTCACTGCCAACGTGACACTGCCCATCATTGGGCTGGACAATGCCTGCCAGCCTTCCATCCAGCGCTATATGGGTCTTGGCATCAGTGGTAAACACCAGCAAGTGGGATGCATCATTCCTCCAGCCAATCTTCTCCTGTTTAAAAAAAAAAAAAAAAAAAAAGCAGAAGAGGGAAAGCAACTTTAGCCTTGTCATTGGTAGAAGACAAAGACCCAAGGACTTCCACGCCTGAAGGGCTGAATAAGTCATCGTGTAGAATGGCTTCAGCCCCAGTCCTTAGAACACAAGCTGGAGCTTTTCCAATTCAAGGGTTTCCGTTCTCTTAGGAAAGGAGTCTCAGCTGATTATTTCAAGCCTCTGAAAGACACCTACTTCAACTCCAAATATAACTTTTCCAACAATAATCACATGGCCTGTCTAGAAACCCGCCTGCACGTGCAGAGCTGGACGGGGCTAAAGAAATCCCATCTGAACATCTGCCCACTTTGCTAAGGTTAAGTCAACCCAGCCTTGACTCTGATACACTTCCAGAGAAGGCAGGATGATGCTCCCCAGAAAATATCTGGGATCACTGAGGTTCAAAAAATGTCAGCTCTGGCCAGGGGGTGATACGAACAAAGGTTGCATATCAGGAGAAACATATTGCTCATACTGTACAAAACTTGGCTTAGCTCCTCTTATTTCACACACAAATCCCCACAGTTGAACCACTTCCTTCCCCCATTATAATCTATGCCAACCAAGTGCTCCGTGCCCTCCAAACTCACATCACAGACTGTAGCCTGCATGATGGCATCAAAGCCACCCTCTGGGGCATCCCGGTTCCGTGACACACTCTGCTTCTTCACTTCTTCATTGAAGCGGGTCACCTGGTCAGTTAGCGTCAGCACATGTTTGTAGCCAAACATAGGCAAACAGGTGGTCTTCATACTAGGGAGGGAGGGGGATAATTTAAGCAGATACCCTGGTGGAAAAGGCTACATGGAGAGTGAGAGGGACAGAGGGAGAGACAAACATGGATAGCACACTGCCCGGGCATATGCTATACAACCACAATTACTCAATTTGAGCTTACTCAAAGCTTCAAAAAGCCTGTCCCATAGCCTAATCCTTCCTCCCTTGAACGTCTCCTGACCCTATATTCTCTCTGCCCCTGTGCCCCTGCCCCAAACTCACCTGGAAAGGGGGCTTACAATTATAAATTGCTTTCTCATCTTTTATCTCATTCAAGCCTCAACACAAAGCTACCAATTTAGGTAAAACAGGCATCGGGGGGAGGAAGTAATAAACATTTTGTTGAGTTCTTACTATGTTAGAAGGACTAAGTAACTTGCCCAAGGTCAAACGGCTAATCTATGGGACAGTTAAAATTCAAACTCAGATCTTCTGATTTCGGGTTCCACTACCTTCCATTTTCCTGCATTCTCCGGCCCACACTGCCCCAGACAGTTCAGACTCCAAACCCATCCTGTCACATTGGCTTTCCCTCCAGCTAGCCTAGAAGATAAGACAGTGAGCTGTGGAACCAGACTGCCTGGGTTCAAGTCCCAGCTCCTAATCATGGGACTATAGGCAAGCTTCTCTACAAAAATGAGGACATGATTGGTCAACTCTCATAAGAGGTGTCTGAGGCTTAAATGAGTTAATTCACGAAAAGCATTTACGTCAGAGTGAGACTCTAGTTGTTGCTATCACCTTAAGCTTAACACTTCTCTAAAGTAACATTAAAACGATGATAAAGCAAAAGTTCATCAATAACTTAATGTCCTTGAACCATCAACAAATTGATAGATCTGTGCTAGACAGGAGCATTTCTGTCCCCAGCCCAGTGGCTTGTTTAATTAATGGCTGACACCTTTACTGGGGAAACTTTACAACTCAGACAGGTTGAAAGGGTATATCATATAATTTTGAAAACTAAAAAGTAAATTTGTGTATTGTCAGGCTCAATAACCATCATTTTAAATTATTATACTCTGTGGATTTTTATAGTCTCCACCAATTAAATAAATAAGCCATTCATTCAGTTGTAAGCCAAAGTGTCAACAGAGGCATACTTAACAATTTTTGAATTTATTAGAAGGTTCGATAAATATCATTTCTACTCTTTTTATATTCCTCTAGGACATAATCCCTCGCATTTTAGCCCTGTAGGTCTCATACTCTGGGTGATGAGGAGGACAATGGAATCAATCCTTCTGAAATCGTAATTCCTCTATTTACTTATCCATAAATTTCTCTCTATTTTTTACCTCATTTCCCTCCCCTTCTCTCTTATCTCCTACTTATTTGTGATCAAGACCAAGAAGGTGATTAGTTTTCTTTCTGGAAACTCTCCATGAGTTTCTAAATGCCCATCTGTCTAATCCTCTGGGTCCCAAGGGTCATAGAGGTTTTGGCAATTACTAACATTCCAAACAGCCTTGGATTCTATTGACACAACACTCCAGATCCACAGGCCAGCTCACTTGCCAGACAGGAAGCCCAAGGTAGAAAGGAGATGTGATTTGGCCAGATGGCCACAACGAAGCTATCCTAGAGCTAGAAACAGGAAGCAGAACTTGGACCTGCCTGAGACAAAGGGGAGGGATGCTGCCCTGGCTTCTACAGGAGGGACTTACTCATAGCAGGGGTTTTTGAGGGCCTCTGGCGGGGAGATGTACATGTATGGTGACACGGGCTTGTCCACGAAAGCCCCAAAGCCAATCCGCAAGTTACTGGTGAGCTTGTGCATCTGGGAGGCCAGCTTGGTGCCTAGGTTCTGGATACTCGACAGATCGTCCTTCATGGAGTAAGACAGGTCCATCAAGTAGTAGATGTCCACAGGGTAATCCTCCACTTGCCGGACTTGGATGGAGAAATTCTTTGAATCATCTGGAAGCCAAGAGGATGTTAGTTTTTCTCCTTTTTCTCCCTCTAAGACTTCATAAGTGGATTTGGACACAATTGAGATGAAGTAACTTCTTGATCAAATCAAACTTGAAAGCCCTGGTTCCTTCTCTTCTCCCTTTGCCATTCTATTCCTCTTCCAATTGCTTGATCCTCTATTATTAACCTCTTTTTTTTTTTTCTATTCTAAAATTCTCCACCCTTTCTAAATGCCCATCTGTCTAACTCTCTGGGTCCCAAGAGTCAGAGAGGTTTGGCAGTCACTACACATCAGACGCAGGAAGTAGAAGGCAAGAACTCTGTCCCATCCTTCTCTGAATCCCATAGCTCCCAACAGATGCTTTGCCCAAGGAAGGGACTTGGTTAAATCTTCTTGATATAATTGGAAAGTCTAAATCAAAGCTTCAAAAAGCCTGTCCCATAGCCTAATCCTTCCTCCCTTGAACGTCTCCTGACCCTATATTCTCTCTGCCCCTGTGCCCCTGCCCCAAACTCACCTGGAAAGGGGGCTTACAATTATAAATTGCTTTCTCATCTTTTATCTCATTCAAGCCTCAACACAAAGCTACCAATTTAGGTAAAACAGGCATCGGGGGGAGGAAGTAATAAACATTTTGTTGAGTTCTTACTATGTTAGAAGGACTAAGTAACTTGCCCAAGGTCAAATGGCTAATCTATGGGACAGTTAAAATTCAAACTCAGATCTTCTGATTTTGGGTTCCACTACCTTCCATTTTCCTGCATTCTCCGGCCCACACTGCCCCTGACATCCTTCTCTTCCCACCTCATTTCCATTGCAAGCTACATCCCCAAGGTTCAGGCCTCCACCTTGTGCCCTGTGCCCATCTGTCCAGGGTCTCTCTCTGAAAAGAGGCCCCTCCCTACCTGGCCGTAGCCGGAGTGCAATCCTCTGAGGGCTGACTTGAGTAATCTGGTAGCTGTCTCCAGAGCCCTTGTCGCTGAGGGGTCTGGCCTCCAGGATGCGGGCCTCACTGATGGGGAACTCGATGGACTCCAAGGCACAGTTATCCTTCAGCAGATTCTCCTTCAGATTACAGCGGGGAGTGCCCAGAGGCAGGGCCTGTAAGACAGGAGCCCCAGGTGAAGCCCTGTGGCTGGAGCTATGTAGCTCTCTGCCTCCTGCAGGCTTGGCCGACTCCCAACAGCCTCAAGCCCACCCAGCCCGCCCTCTGGAGCTAAATCAGCAAAAGTGAACTCAGGTGGTCCCTCCTAAGATAGCCCATTGTACAGAAGGGGGAAACTGAGGCACCAGACAGGTTGGGCGAGTGCCTGTTCATGGATTGGTAGTTAGGAAGAGGGTCAGTATTGTAAGATGCCCGTTAGACCAGCAGTTTTCAAACTGAAATGCAACCGACATGTGAGTCCCCAAAATCAGTGTAGAGGGTCTCAGCCATCAATTTATTCAATAAAATGCAATTGAACAGAATAGAAAGTATTAACACATATAAATAGTAAAAGTAAATACTGTTTCGTGAAACATTCATATATTCTGAGTTGGATATAATACACGCAGACATACAGTGTATTTCATTCTCTAGGTCAGGGTCAAACAGGTTGGAAGCCACTACGGTAAGCACTGGCTGGGGTGTGAGATTCCTGAGGGCAGGGGCTGTCCCCTCTCTCTTCCCAGCCCCCACCCCAGGAGTCACCACAAAGGTGGGAGGGGGAACAAGGACTGGGAGGCAGCAGAGTTGGAGCTAAGAGCATAGGAGCAGACTGGCAGAGACTACATCTCAGCATTGCCTCTTGCTAGCTGGTTCCTGGGGCATGTCATCGAAGCTTCCCCAGCTATAACATGAAGATAATAAAAGCCCACACTCACAGGGACGTTATGCAGGACTAAATAAGACAATGCATATAAAGATTTATTTATTTATTATTTTAGAGAAAGAGAGAGAGTGGGGGGGGAGGGGCAAAGGGAGAGAAACTCCAGCAGACTCCCCACTAAGCGCAGCTCAGGGCTCCATCCCAGGACCCTGAGATCATGACCTGAGCCAAAATCAGAAGCCAGCCCCTCAGGTGACGGGGCCACCCAGGCACCCCAAGACAATGCACATAAAACCCATAGTATAGCGCCTGCTGCAGGATAAGTGCTCAATAAATAAAAGCTATTGTTAGGAGATGCTCTATAAATAGCTCCTGGATAAGTTAGTTATGAATAAACTGCACAAGCTTGGGCAATTCCCATGATGCCAGGTACTGACCAGAGCCTATCCTATCATTCACTTTAAGCTTCCTCTCTCACCGTGGTCATATGGAGTCCCTTCCAAACACCCTGGTGTATATCTCACGGTTCTCCGGAGCTCTGCGTGTGTCTACACCTGAGTACTGAGTAGGAGGCATGCTGCACTGGAAAGAAGTCTGGAAACAGGCTCCCTAGGCTCCCTCCTGGGTCTACCACCAGCTAGCCTTGTGCCCTCAGACTCATCACTTCACCCCTCTGAGCCTCCGTTCTCTCACCTGTTGGGTAAGGGGGTTAAGGTGACATGGCATTTTCAGCCCTTCCCCGCTCTGACATCAAGCACGTTGAGCCAGCACTGTGTGGGCACAAGTCCATGAGAGTTCCTTCCTTTCCAGGTTGGGGGGACTGGCCAGAAAGCTGGGAAACTCTTCCCTGGCCCTGTTTCACAATATTTAGGCCTTCAGGCTCTCAGTCTTCACCTCCAGCCCTACCTACCCCCTCTCACAACCATTTCCAGAAGTCAGCTGAATAACCCATACCAATATCCCAGGAAAACTGGTGGATTTTTTTTTAAGATTTTATTTATTTATTTGAGAGAGAGAGTGTAGAGCAAGAGAGAGAAAGAGAACATGAGCAGGGGGAGGGGCAGAGGGAGACGCAGACTCCCCGCTGAGCTGGGAGCCCGATGCGGGGCTCGATCCCAGGACCCCAGGATCATGACCTGAGCGAAAGGCAGACACTTAACCAGCTGAGCCACCCCGGCGCCCCAAAACTGGTGTTAACATTTATTGAAAACTCACTGCATGTCAGGCTCTGTGGAAAAGTGCTTTATGTGGGTTCCTGTGACCCTCCTGCTTTCGGTTCTCTCATGCTGGAACTATTATTATTTTACAAGTAAAAAACCTGAGGCTTGGAGGCCTCACAAATGAGGAAGTCCATCTTACAAGAAAGAAATCTAAGGCTTGGAGAAGCTAAGTAACTTGCCTAAAGTTCCAGCGCTAAGAATGGCAGAAGTGAGGTGCTAACTAGATTGTTTGACTGAAATGATCCTCCTAAAATGACAGTTTGTATTAAATGCTATGTAGAGTGAGAATCAAGGCGGAGAAACAGAAGTATGCAAGCAATGGCCCCACAAAGACCACACCTGAGAATGCCCAGTTAGGGAACAGAAGGCAAGATGGGGATGTGGAATTTATGGGAAGGACAGATAACGTTCTGCCTCCTTAGCCCCTGCAGGTGACAGATAGCCATATTTCCAGGGGAGGGATTTGGCCACAAGGATCCATCCATGCTCAAAAAATCAGGACTCCATAGCCTAAAACCCCTCCTGATACTCAAAGTCTCTCTCTCTCTCGTGCCCAGCCCTTATATGATAGCCTGAAAATCTTCCCCAGGTGGGTGGGAACCTGAAGACCTACAGTGCTATAGACCGAATGTCTGTGCCCCCCAGAATTCAGATGTTAAACCCTAACCTCCAAGGTATTAGGAGGTAGGGCATTGGGAGGTAATTAGGTCTTGAGGTGGAGCCCTCATGATGGGATTGGTGCCCTTAGAAAAGAGGTCCCAGAGAGCTCCCCGGCCCCTTCCACCATGTCATAGCAAAAAGACAACCACTATGACACAGAATTTGCTGCTACCTTGATCTTGGACTTCTCAGCCTCCAGAACTGTGGAAAATAAACGTTTGTTCTCAAGCCACCCGGTCTATGGTATTTTTGTTATAGTAGCCTGAATAGACTAAGACAAACAGCATGAGGACTCTCCTGGCCCTGGGGAAAAAAGCTTCTGGAAGCCAGCAGCTTCCTTCTTTCCCACTCAGCTTCACAAGTATGAGATGGATAAATGGCATCAGCAATGGGAAACACTGCCTAAGACTTAACCTTCTTGGCTCAAAAGATTCCAGTGGGGACATCATGGATCCTCCAAGTCTCCAAGAGAGATGAAAATGCCCTCCCTGCTCCCAGCCCTGGCCAAGGACATAATGGCAGAGGGGAGAATTTGTGGGCGTGTGGAGTTTTGGTGCCCAAAGTCCTCTTGCTGCCCCTGCAAGGGCTCTCCCAACCCTTCTCCCTCAGAAAGCAGTCTCCTACTCACAGCACTCCCTATCTTATCTCTGATTCCAACTGCCCACAAAGCCCTGGGGAGTAACCCTTCCAAAAAAGGCAATGACTGGATAGACCAAGATGCATGGAGGAGCTGATCCTTTCCAGGACTAAGACAGATACTGAAGTACTAAAGGGGAGAGGGAAGGGGAGACCAAGAGGCTGAATGACAGCAGCAAGGCCACTGTGTATCTTTAAGCTGCACTGGAGAAGGGAGAGAATGTTCTGGAGGGGGTTTCCTGACTCCCTGTTTCCTAATGTGACAGTGCTTATTACAAGGAGGTTTGAAGTGCTAAGCCCTGCTGACAGTCCTTATGGTTTGCTATGAATTTCCTTAGAAATATAAACACTAAGAAACAAAAACTGTTTCCCTCCCTCCCTCTATGGTCACTGACATCAGAGGTCAGGAACATAACAGGCCTGCTCTTCAGTCATGCTCTCCGTGAGAGCCTTCTGTCCCAGAAGGATACCAAGGCAGTGACCTCAACACACTTGGGCAACATTTCCTTTCTTAATAACCCAGACTGGGAAGGTAGAGGAATGTCTCTAGGTTACTCAGAGAAACAACTGGAAGGAGGGAGGAGGAATGGTAAAGTCCTAATTCCCAGTGAAACCGGATGTGACACAAAAAAGGGCAGAAATAACCAAGACCCAGGGGAAGATCCTCAGCGCAGAGGTGGGAGGTTCCAGCCCACGCATGGTATGAGCTGAATCCCCTCCCTCTCCTGGGAGAGTGATGCATGCTATTAGTTCCATTCTTCATTCATCCCATTTTGGACATTGGGAAAGTAAAGCATGAAAAACTGTCATTATCCTACGTATCTCACAGGCTTAGTCAGGGGGTCAAATAAGACTGTGAACATGAAATGCTTTCAAAATATGAAAAATCTCAATATAAGTGAAATATACTCAAATCCTTTTGATAGGATATAAACAAATAAATGCATATAGAAGGTGACTCTTTTCTACTATTACCATTAAAATTACTACGATTATTGCATACTCTTTTCTCGGAGGACAAAGGGCAATAGGGTCTGCTACTTATTTTTCCCCCAGAGAACCTCCAACCGAAATAAATTAACATTGTTTTCTTGATGGATATACAGTGAGGATAAGAAATCACAAGAGCATACAGAGAAGTGTGGAAGGGACAGAAAGAAGGAGAAGAAAAGAAAAGCACTTTGATTTATGGTTTTTGGTATCCATACCCTCTTGTATATGGGAGGGAGCACTTTCAATGTTATACTTTTATTTTTACAATAACAAGTTGAGCAAAACTCTCAAGATAAACACTTAAACTCTGGATTTAAAAAAAAAATAGAAAGATAAAACAGCAGAGACGTGAGAACAAAATTATGTTGTGACTGAAAAGGAATTAAATAATGGCCCCACACCTGTCCCCCACAGATGCAGAGAAGAAATAAGTCACTCCTATTGGAGTCTTCTACTTGGCTAGACCCAAACCCATTCTTCTTTGTTCATCCTTGGCTGTCAGGCCAAGTGTGAGCTGGTCCACCTTCTGATGTGTACTCAGGACTATGTAAGAATTCCTAGTAGTTCCCTCCATCTTAGAGTCGCCAAATTTAGTAAATATTTGGGACATACTTATATCAAAAATTATTTGTTGTTTCATTCAAGTTTAACTGGTTGTCCTATACTTTATCTGGCTGCCTTAACTCCACCGCCTTCCACCATGACCCCAGATCAGCCCCTTTGATCAGCAGTATTTGCCAAACTTGCTGTCATAACAACCCATTCCGATGCAAAAGGTCTGGGATCCATCCTGGGAACCTTTCTATTTAACCAGCACCCCAGGTGATTCTTACAACCAGGCAAGTTTGGAAGGTTCTAGATTCCAACATGGCACCAGTGAGGCCCAAGATCATGAGTTGAATCTCCGTGTAATCTTGGCCTCTTCACTACATTCACAGCCCAGAGGCAACACCCACCCTCCCATATCAGTATGTAACCCCACCCCCACTCCCAAGAACACACCCTATGCAGATGGGCCCAAAACTGCACTCATCCACTTTGGCTATGTTTTCCTATGACCGGGCCAAGCACTTGCTATACACACCCAGAGCTGCTGTCCTCTAGGACCAAGGAAAAGCTGAGCCCAACCAGTTGTTTTTCCAGGCACTGCCAACCCTGCCTGCAACCGCCACGGTAGGGGAGGCAAAAGCAGAGGGCCCTCTAGGGTCAGTTGTCAACAAGTCACATTCAAAATGGCCCAGGCAGTTCACTTCTGGTTTTTTAAGTCAATGGCCAAGACACTTTCAGCAATTAAACTTGGCCTTTGCAGAGGAAGCCCTCAGGAAAAGAAAAAACAAAACAAAAAACCAGCGGTCATGTTCAGGTTACAGCCCAGGATTCCCACCTCCCAGTCCTCCCCAGAGGAGGCTGGCTGACACGCTTTGCCCCACACTGGGCTCCTCCTCTATCTCTCCTCCCCTCTTCCTCCTTTCCCAGAGATAGTTGTGGTCATTCACTAAACTCGTGGCTTCCCCCACTTTCCTGTTTATGTTCCATGCTCCCAGAGAATATCTTATTGGACCTTCTACTTCTACTCATCAGTTTTCTTTGGTCCATGATGCACTCATTTCCTCTTTGACTCACCCCACCCCCTCCCCCACCACTCCGAGGCAGGTCCCACCCTATGCTTTGATCCTACCCTGCACCTTCTCCCCCATGTCCTCCCCTGGTCTGCCCCAGAGGACAAAATACACCATGGTCATCTATAAATCTTCTACACTTGCCTCGCCAAAATCTGGTCACATGACCTATGGGCTTTGTCTGGTTGGGCCTCCACATACCTCAGCTACAGGGCTGGTCCCTGTGCCAGTCAAAAGGTATGACAGACACTCCAAGAGTGTGTTTTCTTTTTCCCCAGACTCCTCGCAGCCACACTTGACTGCTTTTCCTCTCACTCTGGGTTGAAAAGGAGAGAAAAGGAATGGGGAGCATCCTAGGAGTGACCCTTCTCCCCTGGCTACCCATCTGCTCCAGCCAGCTTCAGGCCATCCAATCCAAGAAGCTCTCCCTCCTTCGAGGATGCAGTTGTAGAATTCCAGCTTCCTTACAAAAGCAGCTTAACGATATTATGATGGCAACCAAGGGAAGGAGGGTATGGCAACTGAGAAGGGAGGAGGCCACCTCACACTTGAGCAGCGAGCTCAGCCCAGAGGGGTGGAGAACCTGTGGGAGTAGAGGGGATGGACTGACCCACCCCCTCCCCACCCCTCACTCCCAGCCCCAGGGAATGTTTCATCTGCTAAATGAAGTCAATGTGGCCCAGATGTTGGGCAGCTGCCTCTGGAAACAGTTCTCGTGCTGAACTGTACAGAGGCAGAGCAGTGTGTTGGGCTGGCCTCCTGGCAATCCTCCTGTCCAGGGATAAACACAGCCTCCCAGCTCCCACTCCCCGCCCCCCCCCCACACACAACACACACTCCCACCAGCCTGCCAGGGAGGTTGCCTTTTTAGGAAACTCAGCAGATTGGGAAGAGAAGCAAAGAGAATGAGGAGGCTGGATTGGAGCAGTCCTAAAACTGCAGAGGGCAGAGACGTGCTGTTGTGACTGAGAGGACGCCTCAGGTAGCCCGGAAGCAGCCTGGGCCAGGAGTGCAGGTAACCACCTGCTGGGGGCCCTGGCCAATGACTCAGCCTCAGACTCTGTAATCATTGGAATCTCTCCAGCCACACTCACCCCCCGGCCCTCACCAGCTCCAAATTCCCATCCCAGCCACAAACATAGCCATTCCCTCAGACACACTCATTCCCTGGGGCCCCAGACACAACAAACCCTCTTCCTAGACACAGCTAACCCCTTCTCGTCACCCTCCTAGCCTCACCAAATTGGCCCAGCACCTTCTCTCAGTGACACCTAAGAGAGGGAAGGAAGAAGGAAAATAAAAGAGAGAGGAAAAGGTAAAGTTGTGGGGGCCCAAACTTCACAGGGGAAAAGGAAAGAGAGCCTCTGACTGAACACCCCTCACCCCGCCATGGAAGCTCAAGATTTCTCTTTTATTTGCCTTTTAAAAACTCTGTGATGTGGGTGCCTGGGTGGCTCAGTCAGTTAAGCATCTGCCTTCCGCTCAGGTCATGACCCCAGGGTCCTAGGATCAAGTCCTGCGTTGGGCTTCCTGCTCTGCAGGGAGTCCGTGTCTCCCTCTGCCCCTCCTCCCAGTCATTCTCTCAATCTCTCTCTCAAATAAATAAAATCTTTTAAGAAGTTAAAAAAAAAAAACCCTCTGGAATGTTTGTAAGCCAGCATCCCTTCTATACCAAGAACCCTCTGCTGCCTCTCGTTTTGATGCCCGAAGCCCTGCTTCCCTGGGGCGCTCCACCCTAACAAAAAGCAAGCAAAGTGTGGTAAGGGGGGACAATGGCTACAGTGAGACCAGGAACCTAACCAAAATTGGCTCATGCTAGGGGGCCACACAGCAGAATCTGGAAGGCATTCCCAGTAATGACCCCATGACAGCTCACTTTGACATCCATCAATGGGAAGGCTTCACTCTAGCTTTACTCAGAAGGAACAAGGGGCTTGTGTATTTAACAGGAAGGAGATGCCCCTCTGGGTCCATTCCTGCACAAAAGCAGCTGAGCCTGGGGAAGCAGTAAGGTCATATGTCTCCTTACCTCATCTGAGCACCAGGCACACACGGGACTCACAGCCAGACATTGCTGGCAGGAGCGGACACCTCGTGTGGTACAGATGTTGGACACTGCAACAGAGACAAAAGCATTAGCACCCACTTGGCCTGCACAGGGTAACTGGCCTGTCCCATCCTTCCCAACATCCCCAAACACCCAGATTTATAGCTCTCAGATGCACACAGCAGGTCTGACCATACCCCAGACTTTCACCAACCAAAGGCTGTATGGTTAGGAAGAAAGAATGAGAAAGGTCGGAAGAAACTCATCACCACCCTCATTGATGAGGCCCCAGTGATGACAAGTGCTGGAGCAAGACTGAGCCCTGGACCCTAAGTGTCAGGTCATAACTGACGGAAAGGTTTTAATTAACGACTCGTTTGACACCTACGTTGTGCATAGGAAAATCTGAGGCCCAGGACAATGCGATGGGCCCTCTCTCCAATTATTCTAGTGATTGCTTCACAGCCCCTACACGGGGATCCAAGTCCCTGATGTGCTAACATGAACACACAGCCTAAATATGGTGGGGGGGGGCGGGGAATATTCCACTGGCCAGCCAAGGCAAAGCAAATCTTCTGAAACCCGCTCAAGCTTCCCAATACATCTATCTTCGGGTCAAGGTGTAGAATGGTCCAGGGAGAACTCCAGAAATGTCAGAAAAGCCTGAGTAAGATAAGCTGGAAGGACATGGATTGGAGCTGAAAGGCCCGTACTTGAATTCTGAAGGCTCTTTTTACTAGCTGCGTCGTGACCTTGAGCAACTCCGTTAACCTTTATGTAACGGTAATAGCTACCTCACAGGATTTGTGCACTTGGTACCTTACAAAATGCCATTCAAATGTGAACAGTCTTCACACTGTCAAAGGACAGAGAAAAAGCTGGGGGGAAGAGCAGAGACAAAGAGAGGGGCCAAAATAACCCAGAGAAGCTGAGCCAGGAAGCAAACCCCAGGCACTTACTTAGACAGAAGCTCTCGTCCTCCCTTCTTCCCCCAGCTTGGGCTTCCTGGGCTCAGCCAGGTGAACCTCCCCTTTTCTGCAGTGCCCCCAGGAAGGCCTTTTCCAACATAAGGAACAGACTGAGGAAGATACATTCCCCCTTATGATCCAGGCCCTTCATCCAATTTTTTAAAGTGGTCCCTTTGCCCCCAGCTGGTAAGACCAACAAATTTGTTTTTAGGGAAAGCAGCCTAATAAATGGGGTGTTTTCCAGTGCCCCCAAAACTTCTCATCAAGCTGAATGTCTCAGTCCATTTTACTATAGTGTGACTGAACTCCCTTCCAACATCTAGACAAGACATACCCAGAAAATGTGTGTGTACACACATACACACACACACACACACACACTATTGTCAAGAAAAATTATCCAAAATTTGGAAACAGGCAAAGGAAATACCATGTGTCCTTTCAATGTAATAATGCAAGGTGTGGACAAGTAGACCCATCATACTTATGGATTACCTGATTTTCTAGGGGTGTATACCATTGTTTGACTTCTAGTGATAAGGATATTTTATAACTCTGTAAGGGTAGAGGTTAACTTGTAGAAAACCAGTAACAGTGGAAATGATTCTTGATGAGAACAGTGTATATGATTCTTGTCCAACAACAATGCAAATAATTTGGTTGCAAAGGTACCTCTGAAGGGTAGGGTTTATTGCCTTGTAGAACATTAACCAATTTCAAAACTGTTAGATAACTGATTTCAACATTCTTCTGACTGCCCGACTATAAATTTCCCTTCCCTGAATTTTCTAGAGATTTTTTTTTTTTTTAAAGTAATCTCGCCACCCAACATGGAGCTTAAGCTCACAACCTCAAGATCAAGAGTGGCATGCTCTACTGACTGAGCCAGCCAGGGTCCCCTCCCTTCCCTGAATTTTCTTTGAAACTAATCTTAACATCTTATTGCTTCCCTCATTAATTAAGTTGAATAAATACTTTGACACAAGTTCACGTTACATTTGTATGGTAATCATACTTTTAACTCTTTCAACATTACGTCTTAGTGATATACACCTCAGGGCCTCATTAGAGGTCAGAGGAATCTAACAGAAAGCAAAGGTGCCCAATCAATAGACTGCAGTCCTAACCGAGTCACCACTATTAATGAGGCCTTAGGCAAGTCATTTAACTCCTCTCAGCCAGTCTCTTTGCTCGACAATTCCTAACATATTACAATTATTCGTCTATCTGTCTTAACACTGCCACCCAATAGATTTTAAGCCCCATGAGGCCTGCCCTGCCCAGCCCAGGCCAACCCAGGAGAGCCCCAGTCCTTGCTCAAAGCAGATGCTCCATAAATATATTTCGGACCAAATGAAGAGGCATTGGATTAGGTCAGTTTTATTTTGTTTTTTAAGCAACCAAGCTCATGTCTCCAAATTATGCATGGAATTCCAATATAAGACATGCAAATGGGTTGAAACTGTTCCTCTGACAATTTAAACTTTCATTGTTCTCCTAAAAACACCAGAATCATATGTGGAATCCTGGAAGCCCCAAACTTCCTCAGAGCTTGAGTCTGTCTCATTTCAAAGGCTTTTCCCAACTGCACAGTTCTGCAAGTGGGGTGCTGCTACCAGCCCATGAGCAATAACCCCTGGGCCACAGCCTCTGACGTGACTACACCCTTACCGAGCGAGCGTAAGGACTGTGAGGTGGAGAATTATGGCAGCGGTAAGCAGCCTGGCTCTAAGGTTCCAAGGCCACCTCTGAGTTGGGGCAGCCCTCAGCCAGGCACTGTCTATCTATAATGGAAGAAAGTATCCCATCTCCCCAGAGCTGTCAGCTTCAGAAGGCCTCACGGTTCAGATCCCACAACGCACCCAGTAGCCCCCCCCCCGCACCCCCCACCCCGCCCCGCAAGGGCCGCCTGGCCATTCTCAGCTCCCAGTGGCTCTTTTCCCAGCCAGATGTGAGCATAGCCCCCCTCTTACTGCCTGACTGAAAGAGCTCTGAGAGGAGCAGAGCCTGAACTATTTTAGGTCTCTGCCTCCCACCTTGAAGTTTCCATGGGAATCAGCGTCCAGGGGGGTAATTCTGGACATAAATGCCATCGACTTTCTCTGGGGGTGGGGAGGAGCAGACGCACAAGGAGATGTCGGGAAGAGTTAGAAGAGAGGACCATGGGAGGTATGAGCACATCAAATTATCTCTGCAAACTTTTTCCCTGCCTCTCCGTTTTTCCAACCATTCATTCGCAAATTAGCATTTATTTGCCTATGAGTCCTTGATTTGTAGCCACAATAGAAGGCCTTGCCAGATGGGAAATAAATAGCAGCAGACCCCCTCCCAGTGAATGGGCGGCCCCTGACCCCAGAGGATGAGACAAGCTGCTGGGATTTGTTCTTTAGGGAGTCGTGTCAGCCAGTTCCCTTTACCACCTCCCTCAGTGAATCACAGGTGGATTTCGTGAGAACCAGCCATCCCCTCCCACGATAACCCCCACCAAGACCTGCCACCAAGGGCAGGTTCCCTGGATTGCAGTGGCTAAAAGGGACTGACTCATCAGAAGTCTCTGCGCCTGGACCTTGCCGATTCAGTGAGCTGCAGCTCTGAGGCCACCCCTCCCTCCTAAACATGTGGAAGGAGTTTGGGCTTCTGTTTCCAGTCATTCATAAGGCTATTTTCCTGCTTAGCCTCAAGGGCCCAGACTCAGCCCCGCTGGAAAAGGGGTGATCCTCATCAGAACTTTTGTCATTGAAAAGAATTAGCCACTCCCACCACCCATTTCCTCCCACGGTTTAGCCAGAGCCAGGAAACAAGGTGGATTGGCCCTGGTCCTCACACGGTGGCTGTAGGGATTCAGTGAACTGATCCCTGTCAAACTCTGGGCCCAAAGGGCGGGCACACAGGAAGGGCTCACTACAGGCAGCTGATGCCCCAGTAGCTCTCATTGCTATTGTGTTTCTCCTCTCTGTTTTTATCCTCAGTCCCCAGCTGTTTAAGGCAGGTGGATCTTTTGCACGATACACACTGCTAAGCGTGCCCTGAACGGGGCGGCGGTGGGAACATGGAGCCGGAAAGCACCAGATGAGGGTAAAATGATCAACTGTCAGATCTAACTTCTAAATGGAGTCAGGAAGATTAGTGTTCAAAAATCCAACCTAGGAGGGCTGGCAGGGAGGAGGAGGCCCATTAGAAAAGCTAGACGAGACTGCCAGAAAGTTTGCCTGGACAGCAGAAGGAAAGGCTGTGGTTTGGCACATCAGCCCAATTCACAGAACCAGAAGAGAGACAAAGGATGGGAAAAATGGAGGGAAAAAAGCGGGGGAACAAGGAAGGGAGTTGGAACAAGCGGAAGTCATAATGCGTCAATGAGAGCTATTTTGAGGACGTGCTGTCCAATGAGACAGGATGTCAGAAAGCGGGAACGGGCCACCCTAGTGAGGCCACGGAATTTCAGGAGAGCGCTAAGTCAAGTGGAGAGGTGTTTAGTAGGAAGGGAGGATGATGCACACTGCGTATACTATAGATTATCTTCCTCTCTGCCAGAGAGGAGTTCTGGCCTGGGTCCCCAGCCCTGCCGCTGACCCTTGACTGGTCACTTCCCAATTAGGTCCATGGGGACACCGGGTGACTCAGGCCATGCCTGATCTTCCATTGCAGTCACCTGGCTGAGTGAGTCATCCAAGAACAAAACATCTCATGCTCACTGCCATATGGATTCACAAGTGGTTTCTTCCAGAGCAGGCTGCTAAGAAAATTGATTTTATTTTTTGTTCCTTCATTACATGTAGCAGCAGCTCAGTAATCTAAGGAATGGGAAGGAGACAGGAGAACTGGAGTTCAAGGTAACATATACCTCTGAGCACAAAGCTCCAGTAAGCATTACTCAAAATGGCAGGCAATCCAAACAACCACATTTCACCATACCTAAGACTATGGATGTAGGATGCATCCTAATTTCAGAGATTAAAAAAAAATTGTTTAATTTTTTAATTAACATCACAGTTAAATATGGTATGTAACATCAGAAAACACTGGTGTATAATTTGCCTCTACCAATGTTAAAATGTGTTATGGGTTGAATTCTGTGCCCCTCAAAAGGTATGCTGAAGTCC